TCTATGGGTTAGTTCTGACTCACACAGCACACAACAAAGCCATAATCCAGTAGTGCTCTATCACTAATGTCTCTTTCCTACTTTGGAGGTGACCCTTTATTTTTCTCATGCTGCTTTTAGTATTCTATCCTTATTTTTTTATTTTGGAGCATATTATTAGGATATGTCTTAATGTTTTTCTTTTGGAGTCTAGTCTGTTTGGAGTTTACTGAGCTTCTTGAATGTAGATTTCCTAATTTTTCATGATAACTGAGAAGTTTTATTCTAGTATCTCATCTACAATTTTCTCAGTGTTTTCTATTCTGGAATTCTGATCACATATATTGTCCCTTTTGATGGTAGCCCACATGATTCTCATGTTTTCTTCATTATCCTCTGATCTCTTGTTTCCATTGAGGTTCTTAAAACTCACTGTTCCCTCTCTTCTGTTCTGCTTTTTTATCCCTTCAGCACATTGGAAAATCCTTCCATTTCAGCCTCAATATTCTGAATTCAATTTCCATGCATTTCTGTTATTTCCAGTGTTGGTTGTACCCCCTCTGTCTTGTGATGATTTATTTATGGTTTCAGTTCTTTCTTCCATCATTTGCAATTTCTTCAGTAGTTTTTAATACAACTTCAATTTTAAATATAAGCTTTTAATAGTTAAAGTATTTCTTTTGGCTCCCTGTCTGATCTGCTTTATTAGGAGAAGGCTTATTTTTAAATTTTCTTCATATGAAGTTCTTCTTGGTATGTATTAGGCTGTTTCTGTTGTGCCTGCATCAGTTGCTGACAGTTCTTTATCTTTAAGATGCTATTGATAAGTTGTAGACTTAAAGTATTCCCTTATGGGGAGGCCAACTTGTACCTAAAGTCCTTTCTTGTCCTGTATGGTAGGAAAGCTTTCATTTCTAAAGTCCTTCAAGTTCTCTCTTGTATGCCACAGGCTGGCAAGGAAGATCCCTTATCTGAGTTGCTTCCATCTTTCATGCACATTTTGGTTTTTAATATTAATCATAATTGATTAATGTAATTGATTACATATCTGAGCAATCTCTTATATATCACTTTTCCCTTCACCCAGTTTATCTATGTATTAATTTTTACTTCCCTCTCTCTCTAATATTCCTGGTAGCCTTCTATTTATGTATAAACCATAAACACAAATGCTTCTATTTGTGTGTAAACCTTTCTTTTACATACTATAATGTTCTCTAGAGGCATCTTTCAAAAAAATTAATTAATTAATATTAATTTAAATGAAAATTTACAAAGACTTTGGATTTCCATTCATTCATTGTTGCACTTTTCTCCCTTCCCAACCCTTCCCCCCCAGTATACTCCCCTCTTATAAAAGTAAAAGAAAAATTCTTTCATTGTTTTACAATCCCTCCTCCCAGGTCCACTCCACTATGCAGCCTTTGCTCTGGACTCCCGTCATGACAAAAATACCTAATCACATTTCCCTTT